GACAGTCAGGATGATGTGATGTGTTGAAGAGATATTGTGGGCGTAGATGAACTTTATAGCAGAGTGTGATAACTGTCTTATGGATACTAAACCTGTGTTTCTTCTTCAACCTTGCAAGATGGAGTTTATTTTAAGGTGGATTTGTATTAGTAAATTGCAGTAAATCATAAATTGATTTTTAGTTTAAAATCTAATCCATTGTTCATTTCTTTTAAAAACACATGATACAGATATATTGTCATGATTTCACTACAATGTTTTTCACATTAACATATAAAGTGGAATTACCATTACCACATATGATATTGATAATAATTTATGATTCTCACCACCAGTATAGCATTATCATGATTATCATAGTATTATGACAATCAACTTCATCATAGAAAATCCCCACCAAATTATAATGATAATTACCATAGTATTGTGAAAGTCATCAGCACCATTGTATGATAATCAACATTAATTTACGATTATTACAATTTCAAAAATACTGATATGCACCATATCATTACAATAACTAAGGGCAGTGCATGGTCTGTTGAATAGAATAAACAATTCTGGGGAGAGGTTGCCAATAGGCTGTATATCATTTATCACCACAAGGAAGAGTCCATTTTAATAAACAATTTACTTCCTGGTAGGATAATGGCCAACAAAGTGGACTGTTCCATCCTGTTTAGGGCAATAAACTTGAGAACTAGGTGACTTATATCATTCTGACAGGTCACCAAAGTATACCAACTATAAGTGCAAATGTAGGTGGGGAAATCTTAAGTCAGAATGAGAATGGTTTCTTCCGTGATTGGACCAATCATGAGAGAAACTTTCAAATTTAAGATTTCTTCAAACTTCAGTCCCCTATCACTCAGTGGACTCTTCCTAACAGTTTAAGAACAACATCATTACTATTGTTAAATCAACAGGGGCTTGTAACATTAGGGCTGATATAGTCAATGACGGGATATTAACACTATATATAGTACACAGTCATTGATGATAAGACCTTAATGCTAGCTGTTTGCACTACAAGTCCCTGTGGTTACATAAGCATGATTAACTCATGGATGGGATGATCCCTGAATATATGATTAAATCTTTTAATGCAATTATACATTGAACAACCATCAACACTTTTGATAAAAGAATCATGTGTGTTCAAATCATCCCATAGATATCAAGTCTCACATTCTTAAACACATGGGCACTCACACAGTTAGACTAACATCTAATTTCTGAAATAAACATATTTCACAGAAAAAAGACAATTCCTAAATTATAATCATAAAATATAATGAAAAGGAGCCCAAAGATTCACGCAGATTAATCTGAGCTAATGTGGTCTCATTGTAAGATTCGGGGCGGTGGTGGGGTAGCCTAGTGGGTAAAGCGTTCACTCGTCACGTCGAAGGCCCGAGTTCGATTCCCCACATGGGTAAAATGTGTGAAGCCCATTTCTGGTGTCCCCCGCCGTGATATTGCTGGAATATTGCTAAAAGCGGCGTAAAATCAAACTCACTCACTCACTCATTGTAAGATTCCATGTGAGTGAATAGAATGCTTTTTAAAAACAGAAATATAACAACAAACAATGTGTTTTAAAAGCTGACATAAGAATCATTAACTCCCGAGATCCTCTCATGCCTTGTCAGTATGGGCTGATGGTTGATTAGCTTACATGAACTTCTTCTGCAAACATGGACAGGCTACTGTTTCTTGGTAGATAAAGATACTAGAATGGGCAGGGCTTGTGTTACATCATTATACCAACTGACTTGGCATCTTCAGATTCTTGTGTTCATGATTAATGTTTGGTAGGATATATTAATCACCAACAAACTGGACTGTTGAATCCTGTTTACATTTACAGCCCACAGTTTGAAAACTAGAGAAGCATGTACAATGTGAATGGCACCCCCTAAAATGTATGTAGAAAGTAAGTGACACCCTCCCCCATGTCATGTACAAAATCAATGCCCTCACACACACCCAATAATTTTTAAGCATTATTTTCATGTAAAAAATTGATGATAAGGCCTTAGAAGTCATCACCACAGTATTACCATGATGATGTTTTCCCTCTCTACATGACGATCTGAGGACCTATCCATAGGAGGTTACTTCAGATGAACATCATAACACCCAGTCAGAGTCAAGACTTTTTGTCATTTAATTATTCAGACCAGCACACCTGCATCTCAAGGATAAGCTTAGCTTTTCTCCAATATCCATACATTAATAGAGGCAACACAGAAAATCTATACCCAGTGTTTATCACAAGGAGCAGTCCACTTCAATCAGTCATTCACATCCTGGTAGGTGAATGGCCAACGAAGTGGACTGTTCCATCCTGTTTACAGGCCAGAGCTTCACAACTAGGTGACTTCTTTCTTTCTAAGAGGTCACTTCACCGAGATCTGCACCCATACCTGACGTACCTTGGATAATGGCTTCTTCCAATATTAGACCAATCCTAAAACTTCTTTGAAATTCTGATATCTGTCACTCAGTAAACTCTCTGTACCAGCCAACTGAACAATGACAGTTGTCATCACTATGGTTACATCAATCAAATAGTTCTAACTGCATCTTTTGTTTTTAACTTAATTCAGTGTTTACATAATAAGTGATAATGTATACTATAGGACTGCAGTATTACCAGTATATCACAATATGCTTTCCAAACAATATGTATTGCAACATCTTTTCTGAGTGAGTGAGTGAGTGAGTGAGTGAGTGAGTGAGTGAGATTAGTTTTACGCTGCACTCAGCAATATTCCAGCTTTATCACGGCAGTCTCTAATAATCGAGTCTGGACCAGACAATCCAGTGATCAACAGCATGAGCTTCAATCTGCGCAATTGGGAACTGATGACATGTGTCAACCAAGTCTGCGAACCTGACCACCCAATCCCGTGAGTCACCTCTTACGACAAGCATGGGTTACTGAAGATCAAAATTCTAACCCGGACCTTCACAGGTAACACCTGTTCTGAGAACCGGTACACTGGGTAAAGAAAATATATGAAGCTTTTGTGATTATCTTTATTATGGTTTAAAGTAAAATTAAAACAGACTTTCATTCACAACTAATGTTTTCCTTCGTTATTCAATGACAAAATGGATTACTGTAATACTATCGCAATACAGTACCTGAATCGCAATATATTGCAATACAATTTATTTGCCAATACACAGCCCTAATATACTAGTTATACAAATTCAATCTTCATTATTTTTAAACCAGTGTTTCAAGGTTCCTTGTTGCATAGTTTTAACTGACATTATCATGAATACATTAAGGTGTTAATTCAATGAAACAGATTCTTTCTGTACACATCCATATTTAGGATGTTAGATATGATTCCGATGGGGATTTTTAACACCCATTATGGCTACTGTAATAAATGCGAGGAAAGTATTGACGTAAAAGTGTATTAATACTATTATCTTTGCCAGAGTGTTTATATTCTACTTTGACATATTAAATAAAACGTTGACCAGTAAGCTATGTTTTAGTGCAGAACTTCAAATTGATGCTCTTTTGTTCCAAATGTTCTTAATCACCATCAAAACCACAGGTAACTTAGCTCTCCATTGTTTCCATAGTTTGTTTGTCCCCTATCTGATTGAAATACACAATCTAAAACCATTACAACAAACATGAGACTTGGTGCTGTACACAAGCCGTTCAAAACAATGCAGTCTGGTGAGATGGATAGAGCTTTATAGAGAAAACTCATCAGCTACTGGAAGGATTGTCTGATAACCAGGAACATAAAATACACTGGTTTACATCTGTCTGCCTTGGAATATTAATAGGCTTTGGACATCAACCCCGAAACACAGCATCTTTTGATTTATGCTCAAGATGTAGTGATTTTAGGACACTTCGATAAGGTTCAAAAGCTAGGACTGACTGACTATGGTTTTACGCCGTTTTTAGCAATATTCCAGCAATATCACGGCGTGGACACCAGAAATGGGCTTCACAAATTGTACCCATGTGGGGAATCGAACCCGGGCCTTTGGCGTGACGAGTGAACGCTTTAACCAAAAGAGAGGAACTGGTGTCCTCATATCACACTAAAATCATACAAAAACAATCATAAGAATATTTCAAGAGGAAAGTTTCCGATTTCTTGCGGATCATGTTAGATGGATCTGTTATGACTTCATCGACACAGAAGTATCAACTTCAAACATTAACGTCATGTGTTAGGAGCTTCATGCACTTGATAGTTATCTCCCTTGATGAATATGCCCTCCAGTGTACCCTCCAGGCTTGATTATTGACAGTCACATTATTCCACAACCATCTATGTTTCAACCACCAGAAAAGATCCGGGTTAGAATTGATCTTCAGTAACCCATGCTTGTGGTAAGAGGCGACTAACGAGATCGGGTGGTCAGGCTCACTGACTTGGTTGACACATGTCATCTTATCCCAATTGCGTAGATTGATGCTCATGTTGTTGATCACGGGATTGTCTGGTTTATTGTTGGTCTGACAATTATTTACAGACTGACGCCATATTGCTGGAATATTGGTGAGTGAGGCGTAAAACTAAACTCACTCACTCAGTCACTATGTTTGAACCAGAGCATGACAACTGGGAGAAGAATGGTGGTGAGTTGTACAACTCTGACTCTGTGTGCCATCCTGACACGGTGAGGGTCAACCAGACTCACTCACCCACTCTCACACTGACAGTGGATACATGTCATTTAGTTAGGGCTTTTAGTTTAAGCACGTGAGTGTACTCAAAGCTTCATTTATATGGCTTACACATTGCTAGCGAAACATGTCACTCTTAGCAACATCCCAGCAATATCACGTCCCGGGTTCACTCATGTTCTCATTCTGGGATTTGAACCCATGTCTTTGGTGAGACAAATGAACACCGACCAACCCCACAGACCCCTTAGCAACTCAACACCATAGGTGCACCAAATGTGTTTGAGTAACCATGGTAACATAAGAGAAATGTTTCACTCACGGGTACACCCATTCATTTACGCCATCAATGGCTGCCTGCAGTTCGGCTGGGTAGAAGTTCAGCTCCCGCTGTTCAGGCGTCTTACAGAATGCATTGAACTCTGTGTTGAACATTCTGATAATCTCACTGGACTCATTGTTGACGATTGTCTTTGATTGTTTGTCCCACAGAACAGGTACTGAGATTCTTCCTTGGTATTCTGAAACAGTTTGGCATCCAGTAACCATTCAGCTTACATGTAACCAACTGATAACCACTGTTGGATATCATGATAATGCTCTGATAACTGGCTCATTTCTGGGGTTTCATCACTACAAACAATACCAACCATTGTTAGATATCATAATATTATGATAATATTTATATTCATAACAAAACCTTGCAGCTCCAATTATAACTGTCAATCAGATGAACACAGTGGAAGAAAGCATTATTTGGAACTTAGCTACTTGGTGTGAATGAAAAGTATATATACTGAACATCATTGAAAACGCACCACTTATAAAAGTTCAGATTATTTAAAGCATGTGTAAGGAATTGATATTTTTTGAGTGGATAATAACAGATGGACGACTGACAAAAACAACAACACAGAAAAGACGCTCATTCATTGAAATGTTCCACAGTCAGAAAGGATCAAACACACGTGGGGTCAAATCGAAAAGTCAATATCACGTGTGACCGCCATTTGCATTGACACATGCAGTTCAACGTCTCCTCATTGAGTCAATAAGCGTCTGAATAGAGTTCTTGAGGATGGCATTCCACTTCTGCAGTTGTGCAGACTCAAGTTCCCGGATGTTTCGCATCTGTTTCACGAAAGACTGTGACCAATTTCGTCCCACAAGTGGATACATCTGGCGACTGTGCTGGCAAATGAATAACCTGGATGTGTTGCTGGGCCAGATACTGCATGGAAAGTCTTGTTGTCCTGTTGAAAAGTATGGACATCTTGGTGGTGATTGAAGACAGATAGGATGTGATTCTGAAGAATCTGCTCACGGTAATAAAGGGCATTAACTCTCCCTTGACAGACATGAAGGCAGTCCTGTGATTGTAATTTATTCCACCCAGACCATGACACTCCCACCACCCAAAGGTCTGTCTAAACCACACACTCATCAGCATAACGTTCACCACGTCTACTCCAAACACGTAATCGGCCGTCAGCATTACGTAGATGAAGACGTGACTCGTCAGTGACTACCACACCATGACATTGTTGTAACCTTTACTGAAAATGCCTGCTAGCCCATTGTATACGCTCATTACGGGCTTACGGTCAACCTTGAACTAGTGCAGCAGTCCTGGCAGTCGGAAGTGTTCAATCACTGATATGGACAAGGTCAATATGGCGATCCTGATGCAGCATCGTAACATGTTGTTGCCAAGGTCATTGAAGGTGACGGGTGCTGCCTGTCTACTGATGTCGTCTATGAAGCCTAACGATGGTGGAGTGGCCAAGTCCAAGTTGTCGAGCAATATCCCTGCTGCTGGTGCCAACCTGAATCATGCCTAGTGCACGTTCTCTTTTGTGAGGTGTTAACCTCGGCATCTCTGTCCTTGTTTCACAATCGTTAGTGAAGCAATGAGAATAGGTTCTCATACACCTGCTTTTAATGTCACAGTCAGTATGACTTCAGAATGAAATTCGCGCTTTTTTCATGGCGTGGCTGCATGTTGATGCATTTTGGAAGCATTTTTTCAACTGGACATGCCCTTCGACTTCATGTTAGTTATATTCATTGATCATAGTCATGCTGAAATCCATCTTGATGAAAATATGGACAATTTTAGACTGGTGTGTTTTCAATGATGTTCAGTATATTTGCATAGATACTTCCAGATTTTATGAATGCTTCTTACATTAGAGTTGTCTCTATTTTCCCCTACATAATACATTGTATCCACTTCACTGCAATCAGAGAAAAATTCCCAAAATCTTTTTCAAAATAGAGAAACAAATTCTGACTACTTCAGAGAACTTACCTGGATCAGCTTTCAAGTAGATGTCTCTAAGGTAGGTGGCCCCATTCAGTGTGTCAAGTGTAAATTCTAATTACCTGGATCAGCTTTCAAGTAGATATCTCTAAGGTAGGTGGCCCCATTCAGTGTGTCAAGTGTCAATTCTAATTACCTGGATCAGCTTTCAAGTAGATATCTCTAAGGTAGGTGGCCCCATTCAGTGTGTCAAGTGTAAATTCTAATTACCTGGATCAGCTTTCAAGTAGATATCTCTAAGGTAGGTGGCCCCATTCAGTGTGTCAAGTGTCAATTCTAATTACCTGGATCAGCTTTCAAGTAGATATCTCTAAGGTAGGTGGCCCCATTCAGTGTGTCAAGTGTAAATTCTAATTACCTGGATCAGCTTTCAAGTAGATATCTCTAAGGTAGGTGGCCCCATTCAGTGTGTCAAGTGTCAATTCTAATTACCTGGATCAGCTTTCAAGTAGATATCTCTAAGGTAGGTGGCCCCATTCAGTGTGTCAAGTGTCAATTCTAATTACCTGGATCAGCTTTCAAGTAGATTTATCTCTAAGGTAGGTGGCCCCATTCAGTGTGTCAAGTGTCAATTCTAATTACCTGGATCAGCTTTCAAGTAGATATCTCTAAGGTAGGTGGCCCCATTCAGTGTGTCAAGTGTCAATTCTAATTACCTGGATCAGCTTTCAAGTAGATATCTCTAAGGTAGGTGGCCCCATTCAGTGTGTCAAGTGTAAATTCTAATTACCTGGATCAGCTTTCAAGTAGATATCTCTAAGGTAGGTGGCCCCATTCAGTGTGTCAAGTGTCAATTCTAATTACCTGGATCAGCTTTCAAGTAGATATCTCTAAGGTAGGTGGCCCCATTCAGTGTGTCAACTGTAAATTCTAATTACCTGGATCAGCTTTCAAGTAGATTTCTCTAAGGTAGGTGGCCCCATTCAGTGTGTCAAGTGTCAATTCTAATTACCTGGATCAGCTTTCAAGTAGATATCTCTAAGGTAGGTGGCCCCATTCAGTGTGTCAAGTGTCAATTCTAATTACCTGGATCAGCTTTCAAGTAGATATCTCTAAGGTAGGTGGCCCCATTCAGTGTGTCAAGTGTATATTCTAATTACCTGGATCAGCTTTCAAGTAGATATCTCTAAGGTAGGTGGCCCCATTCAGTGTGTCAAGTGTAAATTCTAATTACCTGGATCAGCTTTCAAGTAGATATCTCTAAGGTAGGTGGCCCCATTCAGTGTGTCAAGTGTCAATTCTAATTACCTGGATCAGCCTTCAAGTAGATATCTCTAAGGTAGGTGGCCCCATTCAGTGTGTCAAGTGTCAATTCTAATTACCTGGATCAGCTTTCAAGTAGATATCTCTAAGGTAGGTGGCCCCATTCAGTGTGTCAAGTGTCAATTCTAATTACCTGGATCAGCCTTCAAGTAGATATCTCTAAGGTAGGTGGCCCCATTCAGTGTGTCAAGTGTCAATTCTAATTACCTGGATCAGCCTTCAAGTAGATATCTCTAAGGTAGGTGGCCCCATTCAGTGTGTCAAGTGTACATCCTGGTCTCTGTAAACAAACACGTGATGGAGCTGGAGTCATGTGACATGGTCATGATAATAATCACCATAGACACATTAAGTAGTGTTGTGCTAGTTAGTGCATGATTGTGAAAAATAGCTATTATGATTCAACAGACAATCTCTTGAAAGAGTAACAACTGATAAATGTGAGCCAGACTAACTAATCCCTGACTGTGTTGTCAAACCTCTGTTAAACCACAATTAATAATTTTTATTCCTGACAAAAATACAATATCTCATAATCTATATACAATGAACCTTTTCGATAAACAAAGGAGCAATAACCCAAATCCCAAAACAATCCAGTTAATGATTGTAAAGTTATTGGTTGAACAAATTTGAACTTAATCTTAGTTCAAGAGATGAAATTTGTGATAATTCTTGTTAAATTAAAAATATAAAAAAAACGCTCTGCACTGCACCTCTCCTATAGATATGGACGGTGATTCCCAAATCATATTGAAAATAATCTAAACAATAGTTTTCAAGTTACTGGTTGAACAAAAATGTCTTTGGACAGACAGAATTTATTACTATGTACACCCAGCCTTTGTTATTATGAATCGAGTACTGTAGCAAAATCATGTACATCTTCCTACGGCAAGGGAGCTAACTGACTATAAACGTCCACTTTGCACCTTTGCAATACTTAGCTGGAATTTTGTGGAAGCACCACCATTGGCTTTTATGCATTATTATCACTCAGATTTCATCTCTTATTTGACTTGTTTTCACTTGAACACATTCTTTGAAAACATGAAAAGATCTGGACTATATCTGTTGACACCCAGTTGATGGTACACATTTTTTTTGCAAATCTGACAATTAAAAAAATTTTCAACTTTCTTCAAGAGAAACAAAACAATTTTTTGTCAAACAACACAAGTAATATGACATTATTATCTTTTTCAGTAATTGAGAATTTGTAAACATTTTCATAGCCTACCTCATCAGTGAATTTCCACCCGCCCTCTCCCATTAGCCAATCCACGACTGTATAAGAGATGGCATCTTCCAGACCCTTCAGTGTACGAACTGTTAGGGTGCGATGGGCCCACGGACATGCCAGGGACACGTACAGATGGTAGCGGTTGGACTCCGCCTTAAATCCACTGGATCCATCAGCTGAAGAAAGCAGTGACCAGATGGAGTCATAGCATTAGGACTGGCTGGGGTGGGATGGGATGAGGTGGTGTAAGGTGGGGTATGCTAGGATGGGGTAAGGTTATGCCAGGATGAGGTGAGGTTATGCCAGCATGGTGTGAGGTTATGCCAGGATGGGGTTAAGTTATGTCAAGATGGGATGAGGTTATGCCAGAATGGGGTGAAGTTATGTTAAGATGGGGTCAGGTTATGCCAGGATGGGGTAGGGTTATACCAGGATGGGGTGAAGTTATGTCAAGATTGGGTGAGGCTATGCCAGGATGGTGTGAGGTTATGCCAGGATGGGGTAAGGTATGCCAGGATGGGGTGAAGTTATGTCAAGATGGGGTGAGGCTATGCCAGGATGGGGTGAGGTTATGCCAGGATGGGGTGAGGCTATGCCAGGATGAGGCTATGCCAGGATGGGGTGAGGCTATGCCAGGATGGTGTGAGGCTATGCCAGGATGGTGTGAGGCTATGCCAGGATGGTGTGAGGCTATGCCAGGATGGTGTGAGGCTATGCCAGGATGGTGTGAGGCTATGCCAGGAGGTGAGGCTATGCCAGGATGCTGTGAGGTATGCCAGGATGGTGTGAGAGGTTATGCCAAGATGGGGTGAGGTTATGCCAGGATAGGGGATATGCCAGGGTGAGGTTATGCCAGGATGGGGTGAGGCTATGCCAGGATGGGATGAGGTTATGCCAGGATGGGGTGAGGCTATGCCAGGATGGTGTGAGGCTATGCCAAGATGGGGTGAGGTTATGCCAGGATGGGGTGAGGGTATGCCAGGATGGGGTGAGGTTATGCCAGGATGGGGTGAGGCTATGCCAGGATGGGGTAAGGTTATGCCAGGATGGGGTGAGGCTATGCCAGGATGGGGTTAAGTTATGTCCAGATGGGGTGAAGCTACGCTAGGATGGGGTCAGGTTAGGTGGGGTTATGCTAGGATGGGATGAGATTGTTTTGGGATGGTGGGATGTATCCTAATGTATCATGTACAACCTGCAATACTGTCTCATTGTGAACGATCGAATTACTTACAAGTGATCAGAATGGGATATTTTATGAAAAATATAGTGAAAATTTACTGGCAGTCTAGGGTACAAGTTTATTTAGGAGCATATGTATGTAACACACAAAGAAGACACTTGACATAACAAAATTCCAGGGATCAATTGTCAACTCCCATCCCTGTATACAGAATGTTCCAATTAGAAACAACACAGATAGTTGTAACCATTCAACAATGACAATATCATCTGAATATACTGTGGTAACTATGGCTATCCTGTTCTAATAGTTCAGGGATTTATTTATCCAGGCCCCAAGCCTCACCTAATGTCAGTATGAAATCACAAATTCTAATTATATATTCCCCAGTTGATGTCAGCACAACCTTCTTAACATGCTATAAGTGTCACACTTCCCTGATAAATCAATCAATGATAGGCATAGAGAAATGCTTAGTTCTATGTTATATCATTGGATTCATTGTTAAAATACCTCAGAATCTTTGGCATGTATTTTATCATTGTAAGAAGATACGAAGTGCAACAAAACCCAGTTTGCCTGCCAAGAGCTGCTGCCAGGAATCGTAACAAATCCTTGCAGTTATAAAGCCCCAGTGGGACAGCATTTCTTATCTGTTTGATGCAGGTCTGTTTCTGAACCTGTGTTTACTCAAACTGCATTGCCTTAAAACTGATGATTCATCATTCGCTAGACTTGCTTAACAATCGAACAGTTTTGTAATTGGCCTACTTTCACAAAAATGCTTAATAAGAAACGGGAAATCTGTAACTATTCTGTAAACAGTGGCTATCATGCAAATGTGTCTGTTGATGTTAAACAGCCTGCATTTGGAATAACATGGAATCTGGGTGCTTTGATAAACTGTCTTCCTATTTTTAGACAAGGTCAAACTTTATGGATGAACAACTTCTTTAAGAAAGAATTTTCTATTTTTATTTCCAAACTTGCTGTGACTTGCAAATTGCCTTAGCTCCATCCCTGTCAAAAACTCTTTTTTCAGTATTGTAGACTGTTACTTTGACAACGGTAACACAATTATCCAGTTCCCTGATGGTTAATTCTTACTGATCAAATCTTTGAAGGGCATTTAGAAGTGGAATGCATAAGAAAAGCAAGATTTATGGATGTCAATAATAAAGAAGTTGACAGCCATAAAAAAAAATCTTTTTTATTCTTATTCTTACTGGTGATGGACAGGCCAGGGCGGTGATATGATTGTTGGTAAATATTAACAGTAGTAATTCATGGCTAGATTTAAGGAACCTATTTGCATCTGGGGCAACCATGGGTAATAATCTTGCTACACCAGATAAAAACAGGCTGCAACTATTGCTCAATATAAACTTAAACCATGAGATTGGGTATTCATGATTTGGAAAATCATTATAAGAAATTATTCAGGGTTTGTTAAGATTACTTTATCTTACTTCATAAGATTTACTGACATGAACACTAATAGACATTCAATCACTGTCCATGCAGTCAAAACAGTCACTGTTCCAAGCCATCTCCTTATCATTCTGTTCACCAGGTGTAGTCTATATTCTTTCAACAGGTAAATATTAACATGCACTGGGTGCAAGTTGGTAAAAATAATTGTAAACCAAAAGTCACTGTGTTCTTTAATCTGATTGGTTGAAAAATATGCCTGAATGGCATTCAATTCCTGGAAATTGCAAGACAATTCGCTGCGTATTAATACGTACAAACATCGCACACACCATTGTGTGGATGCATCGTCAGCAGTGGTGACGTAAAGTCGGAATGACATCACAAACGAGCAGTTCCAGATGCTACCATGGGAGACAGCTGAAACGTCCGGCTTCACTGCTGTAACCATACTCGATGTCAATGAGTGCAGACATGCTTTTGGTGGACATTTTGGTTTACTTTTGTGCCTACAATGTCGATATACATCATGTGGCCAATTTCCAGGTGTTATTGAGTATTTGAAGCACGGAATATTTCATTTGAAACCTCCAGCTAACCGCCATCGGTTCCAAATGAATTCCCATGCTTCAAATAACAAATAACACCCGGAAATTGGCTATCACACGATGCTTATCCCCTAAGAGGATACCTATTATGCCTGACCTGTTACATAATTATCTGTTCATGACCCAAATGAAGATATTGTTTATCAGTTAGGTTTATTTTGCTGACATCTCTATCCATTATGTTACAATGGTATTTCTTTAACCATGTAATGGTAATCATTAAGAGTATGTGTTCATTTTCCATTACAGATGTAAATGTCAATTCTTCTATATCTGTGATACCATGTTTGTCTTGACATTACTCAGTTCAATTAAGAAATCAAACCTTAACCTGTAACTACCTGCACAACTATCAAAAAATGTCGAGAAAACTTTTAGTATGCAATACTGTTGTCATGGTAACAATGCTGCCACTATTATGCACGATCCCTGTACTTGGTATCAGATTTGGTCCAGTCAAAATGTCTACTGGATGTGCTCTGAATAAAACTCACATGATGTGCTTGGAATACAGGTGACTAAACATATGCAGACTTATCACTTGCTAAACTTCATTATCCTACCTTCCTGTAAAATACTTTAATATAACTGGTCAATGACGCTTTAACAAGTTTCTGTGTCACCCCTCCCAGGAGGGTGACAACTGGAAAATATATTACCCGCTGCCACGGTAACGGCCAAACTCTCTGCCGAGAAGCAGTATTGCAAACAATCGTATTATGTCATAATATGAAGCATGGAGTGCACAGAGTTCGAAAACTGTACGATTAGTTGTTTTTGAGTTCACTATGTACACATTTATTTTACCTGACTTTCACTGCTTTATTTAAACTATTTTATACATTGAATCGTTTGCACACTCAACTTAAACATAACTAACCGTTCTTATAGCAGTTTTAAGCTTGTCAGAATATTTTTCACTGATTTTAAGAATCCCATCAAGAGGCAGATGCCATTTTATTTACATGTCATATAGTCGGTAGTGAGCTTAATAATCTTCAAAATAGAATATAATGATATTTTGTACATTTAACATGGCGGTAAGATAAATACATTGTAAACTTCTCCCTCAGGTAAATACAGTCTGATGTAGGCCTTTTTGTAGCAGTGTCATCCACTGCCTACCGGCTCGGCAACTCTGATACAAAGAGGCATACATCAGGCAGTATTAACCTCGAGAATAGCATACAACTTATATTTTTCTGACGATATTTATATAAATTGATTTACTGACAACTCTCGACCCAAATGAACATGTCGAAAACTGATGATAGTCACTAAACTAAAGCCAATATTAAGAGTGTATGGGTCAAGTCCTATATCAATATCACAAAGGCCATCATATTGCTTCCAGACAGAAGACTTCATGTTTACAGACGCCGTGCCCGAAACCGCATACAGGAAGTGGTTTTGGGAGTGTAATGATGTGGCCTACAGGTTTGGTGGTGGGAGGTATCCTAAGGAACTAAAGGTGGTGGGAGGTATCCTAAGGAACTAAAGGTGGTGGGAGGTATCCTAAGGAACTAAAGGTGGTGGGAGGTATCCTAAGGAACTAAAGGTGGTGGGAGGTATCCAATATTAAGAGTGTATGGGTCAAATCCTATATTAATACAGTATCACTAAGGCCATGATGCTTTAGTTTCGATCACATTTCATACTCAAAATAAACAAAACATACAGAGAGCAGAGAGAAATATCTTTGAGAAAGTATGAAGTACTATCCTATCTATCTATCCTATGTAACTGCCTTTAAACATACATCTGAGATGCTTTCAGAACTTTCAGTTTGATGCACAGATACATCTATGGAGATCTTTGACTGACTGACTGACTGTGTTTGGTTTTACGCCGCTTTTAGCAATATTCCAGCAACATCACGGCGGGGAACACCAGAAATGGGCTTCACACATTGTACCCATGTGGGGATTCGAACCCGGGTATTGGCGTGACGAGCCAACGCTTTAACCACTAGGCTACCCCACCACCCTGGAGATCTTTGAATCTACAGTACTGGTTTTCACTTAGTCCAGCATATAACTAGACGACTCTGCACTAGATCTCTATACCAATGTGTGCGCCTTGGCTGGAATACGAGTTTATTCATATGAACTAGTGTTCACTGTATGTTTTTCAAGCAATGTAATATATAACGATGTTACCCAGAACTACAGTATCGTGGATGTTGATGGGTTTGATATTTTTGCTGAGCATGTCTTTAAATTATTTGGACGAAAGTTTTCTTGAATGTGATTATAACACTGATTATGAACAAATGCAGCCGTCTCAAGTCTAGGTATCATACCACCGGCAGTTGGCCTCTGAGTCTTACCTGTCACAGCATCCCTGAAAGCAGATTCTTTCCTGACAAACTCTCCCTTCACGTTTGTTGACGATTTCATCGAGCCAGTAACCTTACTGTCACTTGCAGCATTCCCACTAGAGCTCATTTTCGTAATATGACAGGTGTATTTCCTCTCCAAGCACAACAACTTCTTAACAATCGGCAGGATGATCGTCGATCTCCGCATTCGTGCCGTAATGCCATTCGTAACTACTCGTGTCATTCCGGCAAGCCGGATGGCGTCTTGTAGGTCACGGAAAGAGGCGAGTAGTTACGAATGCCGTAATGCCACACTTGTGCACTCGGCAAACATCGCCCCTTTCCGTATAATAGCGTCAAACTTGCTGCCGACTGTATTCAGTTTCATTTGCAATCGATCATCGTACAACTAACGGTAACATGCGAGAGGAATTTAGTCAATATTCTTCAGCCGCAAAAATTGAATGGCTACCACAGGTTTTCAGTATGACACGTCAGTAACATATCTAAAATTCTATTCATATTCACGACTGACGTTGTCATTTGACTGATTTTATCCGCGTGAGTGAAGATTGGTTAATGTCGCAGGTGTGACTTGTCCATCTATAGATAACTGGGCTGCTCAAAATATTTTAGCTAACCCAAAACGTGTTGGTAAAGGAATCCAGCAAACAACGAATACGTGTTAAACAATTAACAAGTCTGTTGTAAACTTAACTAGGTTTACAAATCAGTTACTGCAAAGAAATACAAGGACAGTATCAACAGGGATAATCTATCTACAGCTTTCTTCTATTCTCCCATTCTCTTCCCACAGAGGTTACTCCTGTCATATCTTCCTACGTAACCTCTGTTCTAATACGGCCATATTTCCCGGTTCTCGTAAAATCCCCTAGCGGCAAAAGATCGCAACACAAATTATCTCCCTTCTTTCTATCCAATCAGATCACCTGTTACATCGACTTAGATTCAACTTGACTAACACAAGCAAATGTGGGGCCACAAATATCCCCCATCTGCCGGGGACTTGTGTTGATGTTACACACAAGACGTTTAATGGCTAGCTTGTCCGTTGTCAACGAGGGCGATGGAGACGCCACTGATCCGCCATAACATAACTGAGTTCTGTCTAGAAGAAACGTTTGCGCATCGCGCAGGGGAAGAAGTTTAGTTTTCTCGAAGCATACGGAAATTACCGAGGCCTTGCGAATGATGACTTTTGAAACAACGTTGCTGATTGCACAACTAAATCTGATTGTCTCCAATCACGAGTCTTGAACGCTCACACCATGAAAGGGCCGTATTAGAACAGAGGTTACGTAGGAAGATATGACAGGAGTAACCTCTGTGGGAAGAGAATGCTATTCTCCCTGGTATCAGTAAAAATTAATTCATTGTTAGTATAATTACAATGGCGATATATTATGAAATAGCAGTGATAATGGCAATAATGCCACCGACAACAATAGCACATAGCAGCAACAGTGGTATGGCTGGATATTCTTGGTGAATAACGATCTCCACTCACTCACTCACCCACGCAGGCAGTCTTCCTCACTCACTCACATACTCACTTGATGTCATGTCAGATTACTGCGGATACCTTTCATATATATATGAAAAAGGTTTCAGAAATTTCTTTACAAAGCTGTTTTTCGGCCGATCCAAAAACCTCCTGATTACTTTGTACTCGGTCTAAATAGGTTACTGGCAAACACTGCCCTCTACTGAATCTTCATAGAAACAACGTAGTACATCTACACAGGGATACTCTACAACCTTATATAGTCTCCCTGATCTACAACACCGTTTCACAATTAATTACACTGCAACATGATAACCAAATCAACTTCTTCACTGACAGCATGTTAGTGATTACTACAATAACGCTCAGAATCCTTCACTGACAGCATGTTAGTGATTACTACAATAACGCTCAGAATCCTTCATTGACAGACTACATTAACGTAATCAAGTTATCCCATCTTCACTCAAGTTCATAACAACTAGCAGAACTGTTGACGTGTTAATGAGAATTCTAAGATGCCTAGCGGTTAGAACAATCGAAAAAAATACATTATTTAAGGATTGACTGTGTATTTCTTTCGTTGCATTAAGGTATGAAACTAAAAACCAATGTGCAAACTGTATGAATCCGCGTAATGCACTCTCTACCATTTCTTTAGTATTTATTTAAGAAATACAGTTCGCTCTACCACCATGTATTGTGTAATAAAACACACTTTCGCCCTGAACTATTATAGTTAAAGTACGAGGACGCTTGCGTCCGAGTGCTTAAACGTTATAATAGTTCAGGGCGAAAGTGTGCTTTATTACACTATACATGGTGGTAGAGCGAACTGTATTTCTTTTCTAAGATGCCAAATTTAATGCTTTCTAAGGATAATTACGATTAATTTAAGGCAGAAAACAAACGACGGTGTCGGTGACCTAAATTAAGAATCCTCGCACAGGGCTAACTGGCGCGCTGTTCTATTGATGTGTCTGTCCCCCTACGTTAAGACGAACGTTACCAGAAAAAAAGAAATGATAACAGTTTGATGACTGTTTACGTTCTGATTAAATATCTACTCTGAATTATTTTAATTATATCTGTCATTAACGTAAACCATATGGGGCAATATGAACGTCGCATTTCTACTACCAACGTAAGTTTAGATCAGTACATCCAAATGAAGCTGAGTAGTCAAGCGACATTCCACGATTGCATTGTGGGAATGTAAACATTGCGAACATTACCGTGTCGCTGAAAACTTGTGAGTCGAATTGACACATTTTAACCGTCGTAAAACATAAACGTAATGTTTCCACCAGGGATGTTAGCTGCGTGAAGCAACTGCAAACCAAGAATCGGGATGCAACGGGGTAGTTTACTGTAGGAGGCCGTACGAGGCGATGACAACTGACATGCATCGTGACGTCGCTTACATTGTGACGTAATGTAAAATGGTTCGATTACGAGGGGGCACACTAGAATGGCGAAGTGATGGGATATAGAGAATCTCACCCAAGTGTCTACTGATATATATTATATCAACACTCGTTGATAAAGTTACAAATATCCGAGGCTTGCCAAGGATATTTTTACCTTTATCAACGAGTGTTGATATAATTGATATCAGTAGACACGAGGGTGAGATTCTATTTATCATCAAAAATGATTCTTCATTAGTTTTCAATGAAAAATGTACATCTCTCAACACTCTACTACCATTAGACTTACAGTGCAGCGATGTCATAGCATTGTGACGTCATCAAGTTGATGACGTCATAGCATTGTCAGGACATTGTACAAAATCTACTATCAAAACGATATCTCCTAGGAGATATCATATGATCTTACACAAGCGATATCTCCTGTGGAACACAGTTTTGGATGATAAAACGTCATTCAATTGTTACGTCATCAAAAAACTATACCTTTATTGTCTGATAATGTTGTTTTTGTTCGATTGTTCTAACCGCTAGGCATCTTAGAATTAATCTTGAATGACGCCGCAAATGGCTGCATTTATTATTCTGATGCGTCGTGAAGCATCAACGTCCCGCTGAAGGTCCACAACGAACCTTGGTCAGTGACAATGACTTGTGCCAAAATATATTTGTTTACACACAACACACAAATCATGTCCACTGAATGACGTCGAATGCAAGGGACCGTTCATATTTAATGGATAGGGGGTGATGATGAGAAGCATGAAGCATTATAAGGAGCTGCATACATACCGTGTGAATGCATGACCCCTGTAAACTTTATGTACAAAGTAAAGACCCTCCACCCACCACATGTCATGTACAAAGACAATGCCCCTTACCCCCTAATTTTCAAGCACATATTAAAATAATCTAATGTACAAAATTTCTGTACAAAATTCTGTACAAATACAGTAGGAACATTACCCATCATGTCACTATTGATTACAGGGAAAATATATCGATGGATATAGAAGCGGCAGCTGATCATGTTGACCAGATGAACTACAGAGGAAACTGATGGAAACCCAAGTTTGGTGGTGGTGGAATTGGGTTTAACGTCGTGCTTGAGAATATTTCGCTCATATGACGACGTGCATGCGTGTGTATGTGTATGTGCGGCTGCTTGTTCTAGCCCAGACTTCAGTTGGTTTTATAGTGCTAGCCCACTGAGATACCATGCCGCAGTGAAGCATGAATACCCCACTCAGACACATTATACTGACTCCGAGCCGACCAGTCCTTGTTGTACCCATTAATGCCGAGCGCCAGGCAGGGACCAACAAGTACCATACTTTTAACGTCTTTTGGTCGGGGATCGAACCCGCGACCTTCCGCTCTACGGGCGGACGCTCTAACCACTACACCACGGAGGCGGTCCCCAAGTTTGGAGTTTTAGCACTGATAGTTCTTTGATACAATTATTCTACCGTGTTGTTGTTGTTTTTTCAGCTAGTACATTAAACATGCAATGTCCATACTATGTTCCAAGTGAAAGTTTACCTCTTGCTGGTAGACCGAGGTCAATGCTGCTCATAGACAAGATGAGTTTGTTATGTTTTTGTGTAGACTGAGAATTGGATTTATCTCTTCATGTTATAACTGCCGTATTAATACTGTGAGTAGAAAAGTGATTTTATTGGGTAATTGCACATTGCACTTGGAAGCATATGCATATCCATATGGCCTTCAAGGGAATTGATTGACAGATATATGCCTCCGTGTTTCAAGTAAAGTTATCATTGACTGTTCCAAATCGATATCTTTCCCGTAGCCAGATATGACCATGCCGATCCTGCCCATATTGGGGTGGCAAAAAAGTCCATATCAGGGAAAATATCACTGCATTAAGTGACAACGCTGTATACGTCGCTCTCGCTCGGGAAATACCAACATTTAGGCACTCGTGTCGTAAACATAGAATGACGTGGGCACTCATATAATATCCTCTATTTATTACCCACGAGGGCGAACATATCGGGGTTCATATTTTTTATACTATGGCCTAGGGTAAAATATCACTTTGTCATGGTGACGTGACGTCATGAACAAGGTTATGACGTCACGTTTCTTCTGTGACGTTGCGTTCTACATGCGGCGACGGCGTGTAGCCAGCCTGTATTTGAAAGTAGATTTGGGTTTATTTTCCTCAATTTGACGACTTCGGTAATAAACAGAACGTCTCTCTCTTTTGATCCACCACAGAAGTTCTGGCTCTCATGCCAT